CGCCCCCCCGGTCAGCAGGACCCTGTCCGAGGTTTCTGCAGACGCTACCCTGGTGGTCTCCTCAGTACAGAGCCAGGACCCTGGTTACCTTGGTGATCTCAGGAGCAAGGTGGCCACCACCCGCCCTTCCCGGACAGGGACATTTCCCTTGTGGAAGAAGATGCCTCGGGGGCTTTTCCAGAACCTTGGCCTGGGTCCCAAAGGAGCTAGAGGATTCTGGGGCACATTGGGAAATGAAGAGGGGTGGAGCAATAAGACCCAGAGAGAGCCTTACAGGGGAAGGACGGATACAAACAGGGGATGGGTGGGGAGGGTGTTACCAGATCAAGCATCAGTCCACAAATAGTCTTCTGGCTTTGAGTCTCCTCCCACGCTGCCCACCACCCAGAGTTCTCTCCCAGTGCGGGGCTAGAAGCCCTTGGAGATCAGGGCCTGCTCTCTGACATGCCCTTGCCCTGCTACACTTACCTGTCTCCTTTAGATCTGCGTTTCTGGAGGTTCTTCCCCTTTGGTCTCCTCTCACTGCCAATGCAGAACACGCCCCCGGGGCCGGTCACTCGGATGGACTCCAACCCTTTGGACGACTTCTTGAAGGTGAACTCAACGGCCTCCCCTTCTTTCAGGCTGCGGAATCCCTCCATGTGGAGCTTGCTCTAAGGGGCCAGAGAAGGGGGGAAAGGTTAGGCCTGGTAAAAAGAGGGTGCAGCCTCACTGGAAGGAGGAAGGCCTCCTCTTTTCACTGCAGCGCTGGGAAAGGTTGGATGGAGGGATGGACAGGAGACGGACGCGGGGACACCACGGTGCTCTCTTCCTCAGAGACGCTTCTGGAAGATACGCTGCCCCATAAAGCCAGTTCCTTCCCCCAGCGGCGCTCAACCTCTCCAGACCACTGTCCCCTTCCAAGAGTCTGATCCGGCGCATGAACCCCCAAGTTTCACTTTCCTGGCAGACGACTTGCTGGCAAAATCAGACCTAAAAATACCTGAGTGTCCCAGTACCCTGGGACGGAACCATGGCCGACTTTCTTGTTTCCACCAGGTAATTATAAAATAAATCAGCTGGACTAGACATATCATACGGGAAGCTTTCGCTATGGCAGGTTCGCGCTTTGGGGTTTCACAGATCCGCAGTGCGAGCAACCCAAGCACGAGGCTTTCTGCTCTAGGAAATGGACGTTCACTAAATCGCAGCAGAATCGTTAGGCCTCTGAGAAGAAAAGGGAGTGATGCAGACAGAGAGGGGCAAGAGGCTAACGGGGGAGGAAAAAGGTGATGAGAGGGAAATTGAAGGTGCAAAGACATTTTTAAGGAGCTAAAAGTCTAAACAATTTCCCATCACGCTGTTCCTTTGCGAACCCGCCCATTAGCCCCCTTCCCCAAGTGGTCTGGCCACCCTCTGGGCTGATTAGATCAGTGTTTCTCAACCTTTTTTTAAAATAAAGTACCCCTTTAAAAAAAATTAGAAGTCCCCCCAGTACCTACAGTTTTCAGACACACGATTTTTTTCTACCATTGCAACACATTTGTTTAAACAACTTAATCGTAGCCGGGCGGGCGATGACATTTTGGGGTGTAAAAAGTACAAAAATAATAAAGTGCTGTAGAACTTAAAACACAAATTCCGTTTTCTCTAAATTTCAGTGATGCTAACGTGCCCCCCAGACTTCTGGATTAGACAACTGCCAGGTACGCAGGGAGCCAGTCCCAGGAACTGGCTAGGGAGATTAGCGTGCAGCTGAGGGGTTTATTACGGGTTCGTGTGGTTGGAAATTTATCCTTTTGAAGTGTAGACTGTGCAGGAGCAGGGCAAAAACCCCTAGTTAGCATTTGACTGGACTTACTGTCTCCAGCCTGGTTTTATCCCCCCCACCACCACTCTGGCATCACAGTCAACTTCACTAGCATGGTTCCCCCCCCCTCGTCCTCACCACCATTAAATGGCCGTCCAGGAAAAGGCTTTTCTGGTTCTCTGAGGGTATGTCTACGCTACAACGTTAATTCAAACTAACTTACTTCAAATTAGTTAATTCGAACTAAGCTAATTCGAACTAACGGATCCAGACTAAAAAACTAGTTCAAGTTAGCATTTTGCTAATTCGAACTAGCATGTCCACATTAAGTGGACCCTGAACCGGGGTTAAGGATGGCTGGAAGCAGTGCCGGCAGGGCATCAGAGGAGAACTTAGAGCATGGAGATGCTGTCTCAGGCTAGCCGAGGGCTGTGCTTAAAGGGTCCCGACCCCCACCCCGGACAGACAGTTCTCAGGGGTGCCCCTCTTGCAAAGCAGTCCTGGCTTGGAGTGCCCGGACTACCCACACTGGGCACATCACACCACTCGGCCATCAGCCCAGCTGCACTTGCCACAGGCTGCCCTCTGGGTAGAGGGGGCAATTGGGGGGCTGCAGGGGAGCTTCCACCCCCAGAAGCCCGCAGAGCCAGCCCAGTCCT